GCACAGACAGAGACACATGCTGCGAGTGGATGCGCCTGCATCGAATCGCGACTCCAAAAACGCATTCAATTGTAGTCAGGATTGTAGGAAGCCGGCAAATACCCACAGTATCAAGTCGCGTCGTCTCAGGTACTGCAGTTACGTCTAAGCTTTAAGCATTTATCCAAGTTCGAGAAACCACAATTCGCATGCGTATCCACTGGATGCAGATTTGTACAAACACCACAGAGTTTAGTATGCAAAAGGTTCAACTTTACTTCCGACAAAAGATTGGCCTAAAAATCACCTCAGATTAATCACGAAATTTGCATTACACAGTGAAAACGGGTAGGATGTAGGCGATGGATAACATTCATCGGGCGATATACATTGAAAATGAATGCGTGACTTCACCGCGGCCCTGCTTCGTATCTCTGTGCAAATCACCATCCACAAATGTGAACAAAAATAGGTTACGTTAGTCCGTCAGCTGCATTTTATGCGTTCTGCCTGTCCGCCTCTTGACCAGACAAGCAGTCTACGTTTATTGGCCCAGCCAGCGGCCCTATGGACTGGCGGCGTTTAAACAGGAGGCCGAACAAGACAAATCCACTGTCTGGGGTTCATGTTAAATTACCTCAGTGAGCGTAGTGATAAACAAATCCGCTGACATGTCTTTTTTGGCGATGAAATGAAATGTCAGACTACCGGTTTTTGGCTGACTAACAACTGCCCACTAACCGAGTGAGCCAAAGGTCGGCTTTCTGTGGGAGGCTGGGAAAGGGACTTCCAGCTAGACGCCATTCTAAATTCCATTCATTTAGACATGCAATAAAGCTTGTCATCATAGTTTGAAAAGCACTAGAAGCGTCTTGCTAGAGAAATAAAAGCATTAAGTGCCGTTCGGATGATGATCTGACTTATTCGATTTCAGTCACCAGCCTCTCTACGATTAAAGCCCCAAAGTCTAGATCACCGGCTCAGCCACACAATCTCGAAAGACAACAATTCACTCGACAATTCAGGCAACGCGAACAACTTTGCCCCACCACAAAGCATACGCTATCCGTCTGATGTGGTTCAAAACAGCAATACCACTTACGACCCGTTTGTCATGATCAAGGAGATAGAAAGTGGAAATGCTAGAATCGCATGCTGCCCACTAATGCCTTAAAACGCATTTACACTTTAATGCTTGGATCGTTTGTTTTAATTGTGTGCTCAGATAAGGCTGCTGTTTTCTACTCCCAACAGGTGACGTCGCCACCGAGCCAACTCAATGGACCATCAAATGTTCTGCAGGACGAGAGTATATTTTCGGTCCAACTGTCAACTTCTAGAGGAATCTAGGAATTGAATCTGAATCTGATCATAAAGGACATCTACTCCAGCTTCCGGTTCTGAATTCTAAAATCCGATGCGACTGAAGAAGCATTCTACGCAGAGGGTGGAAAAATTAACAACAACCCTTATCTGAAGGATTGAAAATGCCGTCTTCTTTTGGCAACCACCCTAGTCCTGAGTTTTGCAACAACTGAAGCAAGTTCAGCCGTCATTCATATGGAAGTATGCTAAAGGGTTGCTCAAGACACCTTTCCAAAGGTGTCAACCGAATGAGTACGCAATGCCTCCCTTACATCTCTCTAGCTGGGTAACTCATACAGATATGTTTATGCAGCACTAAGGTGAGAACGAAGTCGGAAGGAAAAATGGATACGAAATTCCATCTCCACAAAGTAACTTTTACGAAACGAGCCTAACTTTAAGCAGAGAGTTCTTGAGGAGAGCGATGAGCATAGGTGGCAGGTGGTACCATCGCCTTCCCCACTAGAGCCCTGAAACATGACAAAACAGGTCTAGTAGCCTTGTCAAGGGATGCCAGCTACGGTGTAGCCAAATTAAACAATAGGTGCTCTTGGATCGTGGGGCTCCCCATTGCAACATCAACCAAGCCATGAGAGTCAACGCGGGGGGAGAGAATGGGGGTTGGTCAAGAAGATGGGCAGTATTTTTCCTTTTGTTTATCTGTTCTCAGAGAAGAGCAAGACTTCGCAATTGTGCTTTTGGTGGGTGACGTGGTTTCTACATCACCCTCTAAGCCATCAAAACATTTTCAACCCAACTGTTGCCTTCTTCCACCTTCTTAGGAAAAAAATGAGGTGCAGCACGCAAATTTCTTTGATATCAAGGTAAGCAATTTGTTCCTTTATTTTTTGAAATTAGGCAAAGATGCCTTAGATCGTAAAATTTAGAAATAGGCAATCATTTATAAGTTTGTAAAAACAATTAATTTTATTTTCGTCGCCGAATTTTGTCGGTCTCAAGCCTAAATAGATTGAAATGTCTGGACTAACAAATTAGCCACAAAATTATTTGAACAAGTAATGCCCTAAAATTACTTAAAAACTCTGACTTAGATCTGACGAACTGATTTGTAGGCTTAAATTACTTTAATTACTTAGCATTTCGGCCAGCCATCAGTGCTGAATTTTGAGAAGAAATAAAGGATTCGCGAGTTCCTTGAAGCATTTCTATTGGTAGACGCTGATACAGTGGGTCATACCGAATACTGCATTCCCTCCCTTGCGATGCGGTGGTAAGCCACTCTATCGTGAAGTTAGAGTACTAGTTTGGATTAATTTCTAGAAGAGTATCTCAAACGTAATTGCCCCGATGACCTGCTTAGGCCGCCTTCGTGCGGTTCATGCGGCGTACAAACCACCGCTCAGAAGGATTGGATACAATACAAGAAATAGGCAGACTTACGATTTTTCGTCGCTAAAACATAAAAAAATAAAGAAAACGTGTTAAAAAGAATCAAGTTAAGCAAATAATCTCATCAAAGTGCAATTACCACCCTCATGAGTGTGTGCTACGGGGGGAAAACCGGGAACACCTTGTTTGGCGAGGTGGTTCGCATGGAATGTAGTTATAAGTGAAAGAAACATTTGAAAATTGAATGAGATATCCACCTCATTTATTAATAATGAAACCACAATTGCAGACTATTTATGACAGCTTTGCGCCTCCAGCAGACACCCAAGGTCTACCTTGACTGCTGCCCTTCCGCACCTTTACATCCCAGCATTATCCTCACTCCTGCTTACAAGGAAAGCAGCTATTCTTCTTTTCAAGCTTCATTGCTTCATCTTTTGACAGTAAACCAGAGAAATTAGCCCACGTTTTTACCAAACCACTTAAGGCTTCCTCGGATGCGTGTGGTCGCAGTGAAAGGCAACCCTAAAGTTCCCCTTCTATTATTTTATCCAACTTAATTTTAATTAAAAACGTCTTCCTAGTTTATATGGCTCCGTGTTACATTTAAAATGCCTACTTTATAAGCAGAATTGAAGCCACGTGGTCAGTGACAGTCCTGCCTCGAGATACAAACGAGCGCTGGATTTGCATCTTTTATGGCGAAACGTTGGCGGACATTTCATGCCTTCGACATCGTAACCACTAGATGCAGAGATTCTCAGACTAACTCACGACTAATCCCCATCGTCAATGGTATCAGCAGGCACACAACCAAGAAAAACAAATTACTTGACTGAGCACCTCCCAATAGCTGGACTATCAGTCACAGAGGTTTGAGGCTTCCAGAATTAAAACACTGCATTCTACGTGTCTTGAACATGAGGAGCAAGAACACTTGTTTTGAGGATCAGACGATCTGTTCCCCTCGCCGCTGGACAAGACCGAAATTGATAGGACAAAAAATGTCTGCAATTTCGGTTCATGGTTCCAAAAAGAAAATATAACAATTGCAATTGCTCTGAGGCAATTCTGAAGATGGTTTCAAATAGAAGGTTAAGAAAGTGAATTAGCTTTTGGGAGGAATTTCGCAGAGGACCACTAAAAGTTATGCCTCGTCGACCACAGCAATTCAAAGGTTAAAGCATTTTGCAAGTGTGGTGAGATCTAAATCAGAAGTGGAATAAAAAAAATCAAAGACGCCTCCAATGAAACAAAAACAAGTAGCTTATTGTTGACAAGATATTCTTTGAAGGTTTGGCTTCTTCTTCAGAGGTCAATAGCACGATCAAGGAAATAAAATGCTTATTTAAAAGGAGAAAAAAAGTTGTCCATAGAAGGATAACGTCCTTCAAGTCCACAGCTAAATGATAGATCACTTCACTTGAAATTATCACCGCAGATTAGTACGTCTACAAATTCGCTCCCGCGGACAGATTCAAACAGATCAGCCTTGATTTATGCATGCAAATTTCATTGCTATTGCAACCGCTCACGGTTGGTTTAGTGCAGGAACAAAAGATGCGTGGTACCACCAAACAAAGCAAATCCCGTTAAAAATACCACACAAGGGAAGAAGAGTGCGGAATGCTGACAAAGAAATTCCTGTTCGTTCTGGCATCATATTAAAAAGCTTTGCATTTGGTTGTTTTTGGTAGAGTGGGGTACCTAATGCCACTCCTCTATTCGATCTTAGATCGGCTTTCTTGAATATTTGGGAGCAATAAATGGGTTTCGCATGAACACCAACCCGAATGTCTGCAAGGCAGACAGTACAGCGCCGTGAGAGAGTGGTTGGTCATCGAGTTAAAAATAGGTCTATCGTACACACACACAAGATTCAGATGTTGGGCTTGGTTCAAATCAGCCCAACCCCCGTCCAAGTACAAAGGTAATTGTTAAGGCAGGCTACTGTTATCCCATTGAGGACAGGGTTGGGAGTGAACTCTAAACGGAGATGCATTACATACTGGTGAAATTTGAAGACAACTAAATGGGATTTTAGAACCATGTAGTATTGTGTGAAGGAACTAATCCACATAGTTAAAGAAATACAATGGGAACGTTATTGTGCCATTCAAGCACTCATGTATTCAAGCAAGCAAATTGACGGATGTCCAGACCGGCGTTCAAAACCGTCAACGCATAGAGTGCTACTTTCGGATGGGTGTTAAAAATTGATGACTCAATATGTCAAAATCCAAAGCAGCCTAAAAGCACGCTCCAAGGGTCAGAAAAGTCTTCAGACACCTAAACATGTATAGTTCAGCGATTCCTGAACAAAACTCTTTAGTTATCGCGACAAATAATGCAGATAATTTATTTTAAACCTCAAAGTTTGACGTAGTTTTCTCTCATTACAGTGTAAAGTGCAACCAATTTCCTTTCTTTCCTTATTGTGAAGTAGGCTTTTGTAATCAGCTTTTAAAAGTTTTCGAAAATTTCATTTATCTTTTCCTTAGTGTACATGTGATCCGACTAATGGGCATCAACATGTCCTTAAAAGTAAATTCACATGGAGCATGGCATATGGCATTTCAAGCCACAAAACAAAGACATGTTGTTGAACAAAGAGCATATTTTGGATAATATGGTAGTTTAGTTTAAATGTGCACCTCGCAAGGCGTAAAACTGATATTCAATCCTTTTGGTGAGACGTCGGATAACGAAGGAATACACTTACACGTGCCATTCGCACTTCCAAGGCCTGTTTTAAATCCTCTATGCACATCATTGCGTCCAAAAGGTCAGTCTCCAGACGATGGCGTGCCTGTAAACATTAAAGAATATAGAAATCTGAGATTTGAGTCGCCGAAAAAAATCCCACGAAAATGAAAAACACCACACAGCAACACATGGTGCCCGGATAAGTCATCATCAACAATGAAAACCTATTCTTACCAGTTCATTATCCTTTGTAACAATGGAAAGGAACCTTTCGAGCCGAAGATGGTCATTCATTAGAAGTCGGTAATTGTTAAGCAGTTCCTGTTTGGACATCTGACGGCTGCATTAGTGAAAGAGATGACAAACCGTTTCCTGATTTTTTGCTATAATCGACCATCTTTTGTTCAAAACCGACATAGGATCTTCAGGTTCTGTTTTATCCCTCGCAGCCATGCGCATGAAGGGGTCACTCTTTTCAAGCGAGTTTTCCTAATAGGATTAATTAAGGCTAAATCAAGCCATACAGTTGATTTTGACCTCTTCGACTTTTTTGCCAGTGATGTTGCTGCATCTTCAGATCCAACGCCTTTTCGCGGAACAACAGGACTCCTAAATCTTGAATCCATCTAGGGATAAAATAGAATGAAACAACTAAATTACTGTTGGATAATGTCCCGAGGGAAACATCTAAAACGTTCTCCGAAAATATCACAAAATTAGGATTCCGGTTCTGACGTACTACAAAAACAAAAGTAAGACTCCTTCGACCATATGCGAAGAACGATAAGTTGAAAGGTTGCCTCGGAGTGGTGTATACCATGTTCGCGATACTGGTTAAATAAAACACTAACTAAAGTCCAAGATACCAACCAATCATGTTATTATAAAATAAATAAAAAACTTGTTTAAGGTATTATTTAAATCATGGAAGCTCTTCATGGATCACTTGTAAATTTTTAGTGATTTACAAATGAATCAAATGAGCTTTATGCTGAACATATGGCCAAATTAACTTTGAACTTTAAGACAGTCTAAAATATTAAAAAGAAATGTAATATATGTAGCATCCTAAGACTTCCCACTGGGTGAATGAAAGAAGTATGTGAAGCTGGATACATGTATTCCATAAAGGCCAAAGCAACTAGGCCTGGGCATGGCCTGAAGGCCAGCCCACGCGTACAAGAGCCAAACAAATCTTAAAGCGACCGCCAAGCATCAAGCCGTCACATAACTAAAGCATTACACTGCTCCTCTCTTCTTTTGATCGGCGCTCTCGGAGCTCCCTTTGGTACACCTCGCTCTCCAGCCATTACATTCGGCACTACAGAAAAGAACCCTCGAGTCAACCGCGCTAGTCGACAGACGGCATGAGACAGAGGAACTGTACTTGATGTCCCGGCAGCTTCAATTTGATCTGGAGTTACTTTCGGTCTGACAACCAGATTCGGGGCCGCATATATCTTTTGACCATCAATTGTTTCCAGGACTAGACAGTGGAAATCTGGTCTACAACAGATGTTACAGGAAAAATGGGATAAGCCACTGTCTCTTCTATAAGAAGAACCGTAATGTCCTTTCCGCCAACTGTACAGGGATTTTGTAGGGATAATTTCGACACGAAACATTTCCAGCTTGTCAGTGGAACACGAGAACAATGTGAAGCCAAATGCAGACGTCACTCTCAACCCGCATGTTGTGAAGGATTCAGAGTCCTTCACCGTCGATGTAAATGCACCTCCTTCACACCGTATGTGCATGCAAAGAACCGTACGTGCTAGGGTAGAGGTCACTGGAATAATGTCCGGTTCTCTTTCCGCTGTCTCCTGTGTAGCGTCCCGAGACTTCCCACTGAGTGAAAGAAGGCAGTAAGTGAGGCTAGATACATGTATACCAGAGTGAACAAGGAAAATAGTCCATCTCGCAAGTACGATGGCCAGACAAATCTTAAAGTGACCACCAAACGTCAGGTGGTCGCATAAACAAAGCATTACAATAAATATTATGCGTTTGAACTGCTTTTTTAGGAGACAGGGGAGCTTTCAAATTGAAGTTCGTGCTTAAAGGACATGTATACACCTCAATGGAGTAGTTGCAGCGCCTCGAGAGCCCACACCAAGTAGGAGAAGGAAATATGTTGGCGAGAATACATATGCTTTGGGGACGGGAAATGGTAGAGTCTTAGCGTGGTCCGAAGGCTAGTCTGTGCATTGAAGGGCCGAATAAATGCCAACGTAACCGCCAAACATCAGGTTGTCACACAAACGAAGTATTATAGTAGTGGTCAAGCACATAACCTCAGTCATTGGATACGATTGGATTTTTGCCGTGTTTATCAATAGATTTTCCGACCTTTGTTTCCCTCAAAAGGATCTCACCTCTCTCCCACTATATGTCCACCTGGTGATTCTATCTCTAGGTCGAGACATTAACGCATAAATTCCTTGTACTCTGGATACGCTCTGTCTTTATATTAAGTTATATTTATAGATCAGTTGCTGTAAAGTATTCCCATTTAAACGTCACTTCAAGCAGAGCAATCATAATTTAATGCACCTTGTAGCTTATAGCTGGACCATAGATTCGAACGCGATGCTCGAAGGGGTTAGTGACCCTACCTTTTTATTCAAATAGGTGCTTTCTTTTCTTCTTTTATTTTTTCATACTCGGTATGTTGCCCATACGGGTACCAAATAAGGTTATAAAAGTGATAAGGGCTCTTTGTGGGCCAGTCATGAGTGAGTCAGTCGACAGCGATGCCTTATTTTACAGATATAACGCTGCAGTCTGCAGCAGCTTAAGACTTCTCACTAGGTGCAAGAAGCCATTAAGTGAGGCTGGGTGCATGCAAACACAAAGGAGCAATTTGTGTAGCATTGCTTGACGACGTTTCCCATGGCGTCCCTGGAGAGATATATGCAGAAAAGCGGAAGAGTACGATAAATTAGTACATTGGCTAGCTTAGGGAAGTTTCCTCGCACTTTACCTGTACGCCGTTTGCATTGAGCTTCCACCTCTCTCCTACGCAGCACAATTTAAGCTACAAATAAACACACTTGAAAGCTGCTTTACACGCATCAGAGCAAGACGAACAGTTAAGTAATGGCCAGGCGTACAGGTGGTCGCATACAAAGTACTACATTACTCTTCTTGGTACACCTCTCGCACTAACCATCATAACATATTCGGTGCTACAAGGAAAGTCCCACGAGCCAGCCGCACCAGTTACAAACTGCCATGAGATTGAGGCACTCTACTTATACGTCTTAGCAACTTGAACTGGATCCGAAGTTGTGTTAGGTCTGAGGACAAGAATGGTAGAAAACAGCTTCTGTTAACCATCAGCCGTGTTCAGAACTAGAATTTGGTGCACTGGTTTAGAGCAAATGCTTAACAGAGAAGATAGGATCCAGCACAGTCCCATGTGGAAAGAAATTTGGGGGCGAGGGAAATTCCGATGCGAAACTTTTCTCGACTGCTAGCGACGGTGTCGGTTTAGTTGTTGAAGATAGTCTGTAGGACACGAAAATGTGGTAGAATCAAACGCAAACATCATTTTCAACCCTTTTGTTTGAGCAATTCAGAGGAAATTCCCTTTGAAGTGTATACGTCTCTCTCGCACCATAAGTGCCACAGTCAGTGGAGACTAGGCCAGAAGTAGTTAGAAAAGTCAGGTTTGCCTTCCGCCAGGTAGAAGAAGGCATTAAGTTTGTCAAAATGCATACATATGGGAAGAAATTAGGGGGAGGGTTAGGACTATGGCTTGGCCTGAAGGCCATCCCACGAGTACAAGAGCAAGACGAATAGCAAAAGTCCTCACATAATCAAAGGATTATACAATTACTTGATAATTTTACCAATACCTGTGATGCCCTGTTTACTTGTCCCTTTGATGCTTACCCCGCTCCTGCGCTCGTGGGATGACCTTCAGGCCAAGCCAAAGTCCAATATCTCCCCTTTTCGCCTTAAATGTACGGTACATCTACACTTAATGCCTTATTCTGCCTGGTGAGAAGTCTCAAGACGATACACCACTTCTTATAACGTCTTGAGACTTCCAATCAAGTGGAGCTGAACGCTCATATTCGGATTGAATGAGAAGAGGTGTGCTTTGTCTTGGGTGCAGACAGAGGAAGGATTTATGTGAATATGTAGCTACTAGTTCTACAAGCCGGGGAAAATACAGTGTTGCACTTGTAACTGACAAATTATTTAGAATTTGTCACATCAGCTATTGTAGGGCAACCCTCTAGCATCTCGAGATTTTCCATTAAGTAGTAGAATGCAATTGTTCCTAAATAAAAGAGTTGAGGTGAAGCTTTGATATGATGCGAAGGTTAGCCCACCTGCCAGCAGCAGGATGGCACCATAAAGAGGCCACCACGCCTAAATAACCTCGAAATCATAATAAAGAACAGTTTGCTTAAAACAAGTTATTTTGTAATGCTTTGTTCGCCTGGGGAATGTGTGTGTCACGGTCAACTGAGTAGCCCCAATCTCTTTTCTGGACAGGCTGGTCTCCAAATCCAGTCAGAGACCCAATCTCCTTCCCTCTTTCCTGATAATAAGCATTTATCTTAATTATTATGTTCCCTGCTATAAGTAAGTCATGGGACTATATTACTTCTTCACTCAGAGGCTTACATTTATTTGCTTTAGCAGTGTTGTGTCTTTTATGAAGAACTTGACCAGCAGAACGTGCGTGACAAGAAAAACTTTTAGTTCTGTTTGAAGAATTGTAGTCCTCTGTTTAGTACCATGGGTCATCCTCAATCTGCACAAATTCCCTAGGTGAATATTTACAAACGCTGAGCGTATTATGAAGACCGCATTTCCTTTCCATTTCCTTAAAAGGCCTTGCTATTGAGCCTTAAGACTTCCTTACAAATATCGTAAGGCCTAATACCTGGCTAGATACAAACTCAGAGAGAGGAGAAAAAGTGAGGATTTCAAAATGGATCAAGGGAGATTACTTATCAGAACCGATGTAAGCAGTCAATGCGGTAGGCACTTAATGAATGTATTATAAAGAAACAGTTATGCATCTGCATATGTGGCCGAAAATTTTGCGTCGGTTAACTTGGAATTGTGGGATTGAAGCGGGGAATGGCTCGATAGACAAGAAGAAAAAATTATTATTTTTAATATGCGCTCGAAAAAATTTTCTGTTCTTATGGAACTGCTTTGGATTCCTTTCACTCTTGTTTCCCTTAGGTATGTACATTAGTTACAAAGATTACAATGGCCTTAATCAATTAACACTTAGACAGTGCCAAATGCAATAAAGCTTAGCACTGGGTATTACGAATATACTGTTCTCGCTTTGATTTTACTAGATGCTTTGCATACAGTACTTTTAATTTCCTTGTTTTTACGTGCAGAATGTTGTTCAATCTAATCGCTCAATTAAGAGACTCACTTACCGCGACAAATTCGCACCATAAATTAAAAACAATGTGTGATTATAAATTTACTTAGAGATTTCTATACTGAGCATTTTTGTCTTTTCAAGGGCACGGCTCGTTTTAGCTGTCCACCTGAAGGCGCGGTCTGTGAGTGCGTTTCGGTCGCTGCTGCTTTATCGTTGCTGGTGCACTTGCGCTTAGTATAAATGTGTGTTGGGCGTCGAGTGCTGTTTTTAAAGAATTCGGGTCCTTAAGGTTCTCAGGAAGGTACATGGTTTGTTATTGCGCATTCTATTGGTCAGTCACTATAACTGTTTGAGGCATTAGCTTGTTACAATATTGTGCCGATGTTTCGTATTTACATTTAAGCTGCAGTTGCAATCTCGCATTCTTAGTCTTGTGTCAAGGAATTTTTATATTGATCATAATAGTCCCAGAACACGTATTCTATCTATCTTTCAGCCTTCGTTGGGCGTTTTGTTAATCGACATGAAACCTTCTTCTCTCCTCTCCAACCTTCCTCGTAGATCTCCTTGTGGAAATCTAGTTGTTTGCATTTGTTTTAGAACCCCCAGATTCACTGTATGGCGTGTATCTCCTTGACCCTCTAACCGTCCTCAAAACCAAAGACTCCGAGCTCCTTCCCGACATGTTCACTTTCTCTCTCCTCCTCCTCCTCTCCATTGCTAAGTCATCCATTGCGGATCAGGAGGAATGTCTAAAACTCCTCTGCAATCCTGGCGACCCCGAGTGCCATCCCTGTCCGGCCATGTCTGCGGACCAACTCGGTACGTGGCGCCTCTACATCGACGCTCTACTGCAGAACCTCAGTGATGAGGAGGTGGAGGAAGACTACAAGTCGTACTATCAACAGATTCGGGAGGAGCCCCTTTGCTGCAATATCTCATCTGGCGAAAGTTGCACTATTAAACTAATTGACGAACCGAATGTGCTGCCTCACCGGATCTACGAGACAGGGTGTGTTGACCCTCCTTCATTTTCTTGTCCTTTTGCTTTTTTGTCGTGATTATTGTTCTCGGTGCATCCATAGGTGTTTGCGTCAAAATGACTTTTGGAAGACCTTCATCTGCATGTCAGCAAATTCGCGCTGCTGCAACACATCCTTCTGCAATCTGCCTCTCAAGGAGGAATTGGCGAAGTTTATTGTTGAAGTGCCCAAATACTATACTCTGATTGTGATTTTGTCTATCTTTCTTGTTCTTGCCTTCCTAATGCTTATCGCTGGCTGGTGCTTCTGGCGGTGTCGGGATAAGGCCGGTACGCGTCCTTTCTTGACTGTTTTCTCTCCTTTTTAGTCTATTAATTTATTTCCTTTTTTCACTTGTAGACTGGAGAAAATGTAAGTCCGCTTTGTGGTGTTGGTTTCGGTTTTGCGTTCCTTCCTTACGTAATGGATCCCTTTTAATTACTATTCTATATAAAACAAATGCAATGGTGCGGTGGTCTTTAATTTTTACGTATTGTTATTGTTTTAAAGTAATAATTAAGTGCCTAAGCATAATTACCTTTGCTTTTTTTCCCTGTCACCATTCATTGTGAAACCGTGAAGTTTAGGAAGTACAGTTTGTTTACATTTTTGCATATTGATTGGTAGGCCAACAAAAAAATGACTGAATTTATTGTTTAATTTGTGTCATTAGCTTATGATTCAAGGCCATTCGATCATTAAGGCTCTATAGATTTATTCAGTAACATTCAAACTTTATGCTTACCTCATGTTCTGGGCTCACTAGGCTGTTGTTGGTCTGTGGTGACGCCAGTATCCTCACCAAGTGTTCTGTTTTCATTAATCTTCTGTTGTCAAAGCCCGCAGTCCACGAAAAAATTCTGAAGTTGCTAAGACCTGTTGAAGTTGCGACTCAATGTGCACCTTACGTATGGGGAACTATCCACACTGTTTTGAATGCTCGGATTCTCTTTCCATTTTGATCATAAGTTAGTCCACTTAAGGAAGGAGGGGTATACTTAGAGTAGTGATCTATCCCGCCATATTTCAGCCTCCCAAATGCCCGTTTCCATGGTTGGTGCTGGATGTATCGGTGATGCTGCAGGTCGTGCGTCTCCAGGCGACTCTCGCCCTTGGCACATGGCGGAATGCGGTGGCAGTGGCGCCTCCATGGTAAGTGCTGTACCATCCGCTACTACCGCCGCCAGCGCCAGTGTTGTTGCTGTCAATGGAGGCGTTCTCAACGCCACCGCTGCGAACAGTGGGGTTAGCGTCGCCACCACCCTCATTGACTCAATCCCCCTCCATCCCTCTCGTGCACCTTTTCTGATGGCCAGTTCCTCTATTTCCTCCGTGGTTGCTGCACGGTCACCCCGAGGTCTTGGTGCGGTTCCAACAGGCATTTCGTCCTACCATAATTCTATCAGTGGTTCCACGGTAGTCCGGGGCTCGGAGATTGTTGGCCATGGTAGTGGATGCGGTGGTGGTGGAGCTTCCTATACAGCTGCTAGTGGAGGTGCTTCCATGGTTCCCGCCTCGTGTTCAGCTCCTCCTGGAGCTGGTGGTACTTTGGAAATCACCCTATCAGGAAGTGGATCAGGTGCGGGTCAGCCTTTGCTGGTGGAACGCACGGTTGCGCGTCAGGTCACTCTGAGTGCACGCATTGGCGAGGGACGGTATGGTGAGGTTTGGCTCGGTCGATTGCACGGTGATCAGGTGGCTGTGAAGATATTCTCCAGTAGAAACGAAAACTCGTGGATTAGGTGAGTGGAGTTGGTCTATCCTTATAATTTATCAGCATCTTCTGGGATCGTGTTGCCATATTTGTGTACACGCTGCTCTAATCGACATCTGGGGAATACTGCTTCTAACTTTTGAATTTCTAGATTTACTTAATTTTCATTAAGCTCCACATCCGAAGCTATTGGTTGTGGGTTAATTTCTTCAAATTTAAAGCTCATTTCTAATGGGCAGTCACTTAAGCTTTTTTGTTCAAAGGATACAAGTTCACACTGGTGGATGTTGAACTATATTTTGAAATTTGTTGCATTGACTGGTCAGTTATAATATGCTGCAGTATTACCAATTTTAGAGTGATTCGATCTGTTCATATCCCTGGCCAGCTGCATGATTGTTATTCAAGCAAATTTCGCGACGTCATTCAAAAATAAGCGGTTACTCTTGGACCTAAGAAAGACATTCGTGGCATTTATAGGTCATTTTAGCTGTTTCAGTGTTGAATTCTCTTAATAGGTTGTGTAGGACTTCTGGGAATGCATACTTCACTTGTAGTGTGACACACAAGACACTCTCAGACTACTTTGATGTCAAGGCCTTCTGTCACTTTTACGCTTGCTGTCTTTCAATTCACGGCTATACCATTTTTTAAGGGAAAGGCTTTGTGCTCCATTTGGGGATGATATGATGTAATCCTTTTTATCTGGCCTTTATTTTTGTAATAGCGCACTCCTCACTTCACTCTCTCAATAGTATTTTACTTCTTTGAGTGGACTGTCTGTTAAGTTGAAAGAGGGGAAGGTAGTTGTGCCTATGAGATCATTCACACCCTTGTTTTTTCCTGTTTTGGTTAACTTTGTGGGTGGACTGTTCTGTAGATAGGTCGGCTCGTATCCTACCACTTCTTACTCGAGCGTAGACCTTCAAATGGTGTTTAAAAATTCGCTGTTCACATTTCCGCCGAAGACATCCCTAGTGCCAATGCTGCCCCAGTCAATGGTCGTTGTTGTGATGCAACTGACCGCGTGCACACAAATCTAAAAACCACACTGTGTCGACCCGAGTTGTGCTGCGCTGCGCTGCCCGCTGCCGTTTTTTGTGTCGTCGTCGCTGTTGTCGCCGTGACTCACCTCAACGCTCTCCCTCTAACTCGCGCACCGCTTGGGTTGACCTAGCTTTCGCCACCGACAGAGGCCTTCCCTCCCTCTCGCCCTCGTGGGTGTGGCGAGAGGGAGAGCTTGTGAGCTAGCCGGCCGACGAGCGAGCTAGCGAACGAGACCCGGTTCGGCTCTCATAAAGGGTGGTGGTAGCGGTGACGGTATTCTATGTGCGCTTGTGTATGAGAGGGTGGGTGTCTCCCTATTGGGACAAGGCCGTGTCCACGACGACGGCGGCAGTGGCGGTGGCAGCCAAGGTGTGAAGAGAGGTGCTGATGATGTGACTGCTTCTGCTGCTGTGGTCCCCTGTCTCTTCACAAGATGTACTGTTGATCGGTTCGTTCTGTTTAAAACGTGGGCACCTGACGATTGGGCTTGCTCCTCTTGCAGTCCTCCCTATTGCAGTGCAATGGGTGATTAAACTCACTCATTTGGAATCCGAAAACTTAAATCACAAAGTATGCCCGTTTTTAGATTGCACATCAAGACCCAGTGAGGGGCATAAGGGTTCGATCCAACTAGCTACAGTATGCGCTCTACCTTACGCAGAATTCATCTTTTTTCCCGCTATCGCATATCGCTTTCAACTCATAATCAAATTCTATCAATGCAATGTAACTGGTTTATTTTAGCCAGTCTCCGTTGGGGATCGATTTCGTACGATTGTCAGCCCATTTTTTCATCCCTTGACCCCAAAGCATTGAATGTGTAAGGAAGCTGGGATCTCCAGTGTTGCAGCCTCTGCTCTCCTCTAGAAAAGGGGAATGATTAAGTAGTTCAAAACTCTTTGGATCTTTGGAAGCTGAAGGACTTAAATGTGCCGCAATGATGTTTTTGGGCGCTACGTAACTGCAGTTGATTGCGTTTAATGCGTTCGCATGTGCACACCCAATTAAAATAAATCAATTACATTGTTTTGATGTTCGGTGCCATCTTGAATGCATCTCCGAGTAAAGCGGAGTCAATAGTTTTACCAATTCACTGGTAACGAAGTGAATATGGCAGATTTTTTGGCCTATATCTTGTGGTTTTACAAAAGGTTTTAAAGTAAAATATACATTAAAGGAAGTATATATAAATTCAAGATAACAAACTAATCTTCATCGAAACTGGCGTTAAGGACCATGGAATTTAATAGTTTATGTAATGTCAAAGTTCATTGTTTGGCTCTTTAGAACTGAGGAATCCGTCCCAAGGGTTTACAAGAAGAGCCACAGACGCTTTTCAGCTCTTTTATAGAGATCCAGTGCTTAACCTTGGCTTCAAGAAGCCGTAGTGGCTTTAAGGCTTATAACAGTTAAGTTACTCAATCACTTTGGCTGTTCAAGTTTTGAAAATTCCATCTTGCCACAAAGAGTGATTCGGAGGTTCCCCCTCCCAATTATCTGTCTTATCAACTAAGTGGGGAGTTTGCACTGCTAGTATTGCTACAGGTGCTTCAGGTGGAATTACTTGGGTCGCTCAGCTTTTGATGATTCCTTCAGGGAGGAGGTATGGGCATAAACTGCTACTATGCAAGTGCATTAACTCTGTTAGAGTACCCATTTACCAAACTTGTAGATGTACTTATTCAATAAAGTTTGCTCTCTTCTATTATCTTCAGAGAGAAGGAAATCTACGAGACAGCAACTCTTCGTCACAGCAACATTCTGGGGTTCATCGCCGCGGATAACAAGGACAATGGAATCTCAACGGAGCTCTGGTTAATCGCTGAGTATCATCGTCTGGGTTCACTTTACGAGTTCCTCCAAACTCACGCCTTCACCCTTCCTGCTCTCATCAAGATGGCCTCATCCATTGCCAACGGACTTGCGCATCTACACATGGCTATCGTTGGCACCTCGGTATGTTGGTGGGATTGCCATCCCCTCCGGGCCTACCCGTGTGTGGCAGTATGCAGTTGATCATGCGCGATTTTGCGTTAGAGGCATTTATCGGTTAGATTGGCTCTATTTCTCTCCTTTCCCTCTAATACACCTTAGTCGCAGTTCTGCACCACTCGTCACCAAATACTCACTTTTGTGTGATTTTGCATGACCATAGTCTCCTTTCCTTCTCGCTCAGGTTTATGCAAATTTGGGAGCAATTAGGGGAGGGGACTAAAAATAGCCTCGTCTTGTGATTTATTGTCGCCCTTGTTGGTGTTTTGAAATGCCTAATAGTCCTTGGGGACGTTCTAGTTGCTTCCAAAGTTGTTTTCTCATTTAGCGGAACTTTCCTGTTGCTTTTGTAATCGTTTATCAGAGCGTTTACCTTCATTTGTGCTTTTTTGTAGCCTATTTGATTTCACCAGCTCTAAAATTTGCTCTGCTAGGCTGTATTTCCATTTTCCGTCCAAATGGGAACTTCCCCTCACTGCCAACACATTCTAGCTGTCCACCTATGGAGTGATGAATTCCATTAGAAAATGATTGCGTTCTTTTATTCCTCCTTCCATCATCGGATTTTTGAACCCGCGGTTTTAAGCATTATAAGGCACTTTGGGATTTCGTCAATCCTGAGTGTAGGCTTTGTTTTCAAAAACCAGTCCTGAAGTTTTCTTGGCGGCGGCAGGGGGGGGAGGTAGAGGGCTCAAGTCTGCCGTCATCGAACTCAAGATCGCTGTTTGACATCCTTGTTTGTGACTTCGATTTCGTTTGCTGCGAATTTCTTCTATTCGATCATGTGTGTATGCTCCACTCTCCTACGATGTCACAAAGGGCTTTCGTAGCGACAAAAAGTATGGGAAGCACCAGATTTCGACTTTTAAGTCGAAATAAGTTGCAAACTGCTGTCAAAGCAGTCTAACTGATGAATTATCTGTCTTTCCAACACCTCTCATCATATAGTTTGGACTGCCTTTCGTTTTGGCTATTTAGCACCAATCATGGGAAGTGAAAATCTTTGAAATTGGGCCCACTCAAACACCACATTTTCCTCACCTGAGTCCAAAAAAAAAGGTTTATTTTTTCGTCTCCCATATTTCAATAATGGCTAGGACCGTGAAGTGGACTTATTGGCACAGGACGAGTGGTTGCATTTATCAGATGATTATCTATAGGGTTTGTCTCCTAACTTTTCATTTCATCATTGAATGACGTTTGTCAAAATTTGTTGATAGCTACTGATACTTTGGAGGGCAATCATATTTGATATCTCCAAGTGCTTCCTACCAATTTCAATGCTTATGTTTTCCAAAAGATGGCCGTCTTGATTCTGAGTTAATTTCATTCGAATTTCGCCACTCGTTGTCAATTTTGTACTTTCCTAATTTGTCATTGAATACCATGTAACGCAATAATGGATGGGTAGAATTAATTTCACACCTCCTGATCAATTCATTCGTCTCTTCCATCTCCCTTTTTACTGCCTGTGGCGCCTCTGCAAAGCACAGTTGCAATCACGCTTTCTCTTTCGTCCTCGCTCCCACTGTTAATTGCTCCACCTACGATGCACAGCTCAGCTCATTTTTAACAGAGCTGAAGACTGGAATGGATAATGGATCAACCAAACCCTATCTAAGAACTCAGTCCATTCTGAAGCGAACTTGATGCCTTTGTGTGTGTTTACGGTCAGGAGCCTGTGTTTTATGGGAGACTGTTAGCGCCTGAAAACGCATACACACGCATAAACAGGTTGTTCTTGTTGACATGTATGTGTGCGTGTATGTAATTTCTCAGAGCTCCGCATTGTCATCATCATCAACAGCATCACAGTCCTCTTTTGTCCAATGCAGAATCTGGCCTTGCTATGATGATGGTGATGCTAATGATAATGGTGCACCATCCGTGTGCGTGTGCATATGCGCCTGAAACAATTAGTGGTGCATTCACGACCGTTCTTCATTCCTCCACGTTCGCCCCCTCTTTATGACCCCACGCTGCCATCACTCACATCTGTCATCACCAGTCCACCCCCTTCCCTCACTAAATGACCGGAACTCTGCTTATCGCACTGGTTCTTGATTGATGTCCTGCAAATTGGTTGAGCCAATTCTGAGTTCCACCTCTTCGATCATAGTTTAGATGCTGGAAGTAAACGCCTCCTTTCTCTCATGCGTGATGGTCAATTGAACTCCCGATATGCCCGAACGGGCGACGATTCTAAACTTACTTATCGTCATTCACTTTGCACATCTCTCTGGAATCGGGATGGGTCTTGAGCTTCCTAGTTGTATGTGTGTGTATAACTGCCACTTTGGGTGCGTGCGTAAACTCACTACTATTAATAGCCGCTCTTCCTCCGCCTCTCGTTACCCAAGCAACCACCTTAGATTTCTTCTGTACTTTTGCGCTTATTTTTTTTCCATATTCTGCTCCATACTGATTGGACGTGTTAGCAATGCCGCTTCAGAGGCTTCCTGTTATTCATTGCACTAGTCGGAGGGAGTGACTGGTAAACCCTCTACAAAGTCCTCAAAACTTATCAGGAAATCAAGGAGACAATTTTTTCAATTTCTAAATTTTGATAAGCTGTCTGGTGTATTATCCCGCTGTGATCTTCTTAAGATCTATCACTGGTAGAGGGACAATAATTTTTTTTCGCTATTGAATTCAAGCATTTAGCTAACGATTGAATATGCAGTTGTTTCTAAGCTATCCCTAGGCCAACTGAATTGCCACTTGTTATGTAACTGAAGCGTCTTTTTCATACGTAGATTAGTCAGATAAATCTCCACACTCATAGCTCTGAGAATAAATAGATGGTGAAATTCTAGTTGTTGAAGGCCTTGCCAGTTGGATTTGGTGATTCTTCTGGAGTATTTCTACACTCCCTTTTATTCCGTTAAGGTCCAACCTTCGAATCTATGACACAACGTATATAACCATTTTTAAGTCATCAATTACTTGAGCAATCGGTTTATGATATAGTCTTTGTGCTATTTGTGTCTTTTCTTCCAAGCACTTGGACGCTTGAGTGTTGACGGGGAAGAGACGGTTGTTTATGAGCTCGTTGTTGGCGTTCCTCTCTTATTCACTAAGCTATGCGTGCATTCATCATCTCAAGCAGTCACCGGAACTTCATATCTATCTAGAGGTTATTGAACACGTTACCTGTAAGCTAGGTTTGGGATTACCTGAAATAAAGTTTGCCACGAATACTCGTCTAGGGCATTTCTTCTCATTTTTCTGAGAACATTAATGAGTTGTCATTTAAATGCTCCTGGTCGCCAAGGAGAAGTAGGTAGTTTTCTCACTCGAATCACTTCAAACACAAGCGTGATCATGCGTTAGTGTACACTTCCACTTCTGCTGAACACGGATACAGAAAGATCTATGTTGCTGATTTGCAACTCCGCCCCTGTAATGCAAGCAATCAATCGACTGGATCCTTTTTGCTTCTTTTTTCCCTTATGACTAGGAAACGGCGGAGATTTATTGCTCATTCTGCGCAGTTATGCCTCTCCGTTTGCATTGTACTTACCTTCCATTGCGTTTGTGAAGGAATTACTGTCTGACTTGTGTGTATTTTGTTTATAGGGCAAACCACCAATAGCTCATCGGGACCTCAAATCGCGAAATATTCTAGTAAAGGCGGACGGTGAATGCTGCATAGGGGACTTGGGCTTCGCCGTGAAGTACGATAGTCTCACTGGCCGCGTGGATATCGGTCGCAATACGGAGCGCGTTGGTACGAAGCGCTACATGGCACCGGAGGTACTGGATAACACCCTTTGTGCCCAATCTTTCGATGCTTACATGCAGGCAGATATCTACTCGCTGGGTCTGGTCTTTTGGGAGATGACCCGACGTGTCCATGTGGCAAATCTCTACGGTCCAGAGGAATATCAACTTCCCTATCAGGTTTGGAGCCCTCAAGAGTCCTCTTATGTCCTTTAAACGCCTCCGAAGCAATCTGAAGGTTTCTGTGTCTGTTGTAGGATAACGTAGGCCCTGATCCACTAATTGAAGAGATGAAGTCCGTGGTGTGTGAACTGGGTATACGTCCTCATCTGCCTCTGGTATGGCAGACGGATGCAAGCCTGAGGCTCCTTTATCACATCATGACGGAGTGTTGGTCTGCCAACCCTTCCCACCGTCTTTCAGCGATGCGAATTAAAAAGGACCTTGCAAATCAGCGCCAACAACTTGGCTCTCCAAGGCAACCGAGTGAGACTCCACTGCCTCCACATATTCTTCGCCAACAGCCTTCCAGTTTAGATGCTCTACCCCCTGGCGTGTTTGTCTACCGATCGGCAGAGACCGCCAGCCCTGCAAATAATGCCAACACCTCGACATTAGTGACGGATCAGGTAGGGGAGACAGATGTGGAGGAGGCGCTTCTTGCCTCTGGTGGGCCCACCGTTCAACCGCCAAACGTGGTTGCAACGGCAGCGATGTCGGGGGGAAGAGGGAACCTTGGTTATTGTTAATTGAGAAAAATTGTAGGACATCCACCTCACAATATCCTCCCTCTGCATTTGTCCTTTTTTTTCTCCGCTCCATTATGTACGCACGCGTGCGCGCTGTACAATGTGTATTTTATCACTCCTGTTCCCGATATTCCTCAGTCATATCCGCGTGTATCGTCGTTGATTGTTGAAGGTCACCCTCAGCATCAGTAAAGGTTGCGATGCCAACGATATCGTGTCGAATGAAGCGTCTACTCTCCCCCGCTCCATCCACGGCATATATATATACAAAGCCACTCATTATTATTGCTCCTTAAAGCCTCACAGGCACAAATTCTCCTTATCCCCACCCTCTTCCTCTGTCCCAATCCCCTTTCCTTCCGTCATGCATCCATCGATGACGATCCCTGATGCTCCTTGTTCAATCTTTCCCCTCTCTTGTGTTTATGTACATAATATGTATACATCTATATATACATATATATACATGCATATATACATACATGTGCGAGTAAGTGAGGTGCGTCTTTGCTTCTGCATTTAAGGCTATGTAGTAGCTCTGTATTCTGCCACGTATATCAGTTGGCGTTTTGTTTCCAGATGTCTTGGAAATGAGTTGTTTTGAACGGCCTTTTCCGTTAGGCGACCGGAGGCGGAGGTTGTTTAATCATCTGAACTGTTCTTATAACCATCAGAAAATGTTTCTCCGGCGGCAATTGATTGAACCGTGGTATTCTTCCATGTTACTTCGATGAGCTTCCTTTGGAAACTTCAAGCAGGACGAATTTTGTCACAGTAGCCCCTTTGAAGACAAGCCAAAAAACCTCGGGCGTAGGTCGAGTTTTGTGATTACAAGTGGTCCCGGGGTCTTAGGGCTCGTCGAAAGTCGGCAATTTCAATGGGCGTATTGACTAGGACTACAGCGTAAGTGACTCTCTTGAGGGTTATTGCTTGATGAATGCAGTGCTGCTACACTTGTGCGCATAGCTCAATCACCATTGGGGTGACATTCATTTCCTACATTGGAAAGAGTCGCTTCCCCAATCTGAAGATTCAGCTTTGTCATTACTCATTTGGAAGCAAACTTAGTCTTTCTTAAAATATTTGGTCTAAAGTACTAGCACACCCTGGGTAACCTCCGTGCATCAATGCTTAGACACGATTCTTGGTCCCATTATGCATTGATTTGAAGACAGGAAACGCCCTAAGACTGAGGACCTGAAGGCAGCAAACGTTACTTAATTGAGATTGAGAGTAGTGGAATAAAGGATAAGTTCTGGAAGTAAAGAATTTGGCACTCCTTCCCCTTTCCCCTCCCTTCTCCTCCCCCTTCTCCTTCCTGTCGTTTGAACGTTTCACCACACCCTGGCGAAAAGCCATGAGATTGGTAAAGGGGACTGATTTTCTGATTGTTGACGGTTCCTTAGCTTGAACTTCCTTTGAAGATTCTCAAAACTCCGAAAATTAACCTCTCCGATGACGAAGTAGGACTGAAAGCTTGCCAAAACACGTGTTATAGGTGCACAGAAAGGTTGAAGAGGAAGGGTGGTGTTACCACTGTTATGGGGCCAGGCTGCGATGCCTGCCATAGCACGAAGGCGACTACAAAGGGCATGGTTGATGATACCACATTAAGTCGAGTCTACTATCTGCAGAACTTTTACTAGTCGGACTCGAGAAATTTCTGTGTAGATAATGAAACTGGCAGAATGAAATTATGCTTATTGTTATTCCAGTTGTCACATTTCCGCGGATAATTAGTTTTCACGGAAGTGTACTACTCGGGGCTACTCTTGAGGGATCGGAGAGCTGAGCAATTATTTTCCAACTGACTTTCGAGATTGTTGCACCGAACTGAATCGCATTTGTGGATTACACAAATTCAGTTTCTTCTTTGAGAAAGTGAAACTTGAGTTTCAAAATGGGTGGGAAGTATGAATACCCAAGTACAGTGTGGACCGTCTCATTACACTCCAGAAAAGCCATTGATCATGGTCTTGTAGTTTAGCTGTAATTTCTCCTCCTCAATTAATTATTAAAGCAATTTTTTCATTGAACAGGAAACTGGACTTAAAGGCATTCATTTTTGAAGTGTTCTACTCCTATTTATGGTGTCAAATCGAAGACGAAACAGGAAAGCGTCTCTTGACAGTATCGGAAGTTATCAACTTGATGCTGCTTGCTTATTAGTCATTGACGCTTCGCTTCCACGAGGCTGGGAGAAGTGGTTGCTGTGTTTTGCCATTGTGGGGCACTTCAAAGCTCATCACGAAGTTCTCCTGCGTTGACACCACTGCGCACACAGATGCGTGATGCTGTGATTTATTCGCTAAAAGTACTGCAACCACGGAGGGAAGGGGAGGGAGGGAAGGCGCGAGGAGGTGCAGGCTCTTTGTGAGGCCGACTTTGTGCCAAGGCGATGGGCTCGGGTGGCGAGGAGGAGGAGGAGGAGGAGGAGAGGGAGCAATGTGAATCACTTTGGTGACGAAGTGATGTGGAAGTGCTGTGGTCTTCTCTACACCTATTAAACTTCAAAGGGCAACTTCCACTTCTTTGTTGAATGAAAGATGGAGGAAAAGATAGGTGGATGACTTAATGCAGCAACCATCGGGTAAAATTGATGGAAAGAAGCGAAGAACGGATAAGGGGATCGACGGCTGGAAAATGGGTGCATGAACGAATGAATTAATTAAGGGTTGGCTGGTATTAATGGACGAGGAGATTGATACGAGGGTTCAATGCCGGGAAGGTCTTGAGCAGTACCCAAGGATGGACGTTTCGTTGGTTCTATTTCCTGAAACCAAGAACGAAGAAGACTTTATTAACATATTAGGCCTTCTGTGCCATCGGAGGGTCAAAGTCAAACGGCTTTTGTTTGTTTTGTCTGTCACTTAAAATAACCTTTTTAGGTGGGATTGGTAGTAGTCAACCTGATTTTTTGCTGATGTGTTGGGAAAAACTCTATTTTTTAATTTACATAAGTGCTACTATCGAGTTAAGCTTACATAGGCAAACTATGATCTAAGTTGAATAACCCCCTTCGAGCTTACCTACCTCAAAGAATGAAATCTCATTTCGACTCCATAAATCAAATTTTTGATTAATTAGACAGGCGAACGGCAGACAAACGCACGCCACACGCAAGCGTCTAACATCTACTCAATTAATCATAACGAGGTCTTCTTCATTCAAAACTTCAAAAGCGTCGAAGTTGTTTTCCAAATTGAGGGCAATTCCAGCTCTCTCTCCCTCTCCCTCTCCCTCTCTGAGGTTTGTGGACGAGAGCTGGTCCTACCACATACGGAAGGACGTGAGTCTTCACACGACTACACTTGTTGACAACATCCAGAACAATATAATCCGCCTGTTACCATAGTAACTTTGGTCGTTATTAAATTTTCTACTCTCCTGCTTTCGCTACAATCTATGCCGATGACGAGAGTGAGGGATGGAAAACAGTCTGTATGTTGAAATAGAGAGGGGAGAAGGAGAGTCAGTTGACCATACCAACAAAGGATGGGGAAAGCTGTGATGGCAGATGGGAAAAGCATGAGCCTGTGTGGGTGGAAGGTCCAAGGTTTGGACATTGATTAGACGGTCCTAATCTGGTTTTCATATGATCAGTTTACAGCAGGCTGATCTTGGCGTTACAAATTTAAGGTTGATTGGTGATGGTTGCCAATCTGTGGAGGTCGTAAAGTGGGTTAGAAACCGGCTCACGGCGTGCGAACTGGGCGTTGCGCCGGCAACTAAGTTCGAAGGTACTTGAACAAATCGATAAGTGGGACAGATTGAGTCATAAGCCTCTCACGGAAAAACGGGGCCGATGAGGATGTGACCCCTTTAACGGTCAACCCAAATTATTAAAGTAATCTTCTTTAATCCCCACCCAAGTGGCATGGTTGGGCACTTTGCATTGCGTGTCGCATGTGCGAGTCTATTTCAATAGAGGTGTCCGCTTTCTAGAACATGCACACACACACGCACATGCATGCACACACACACACACACA